TTTAGGGTTTAGGGTTTAGGGTTTAGGGTTTAGGGTTTCGGGTTTAGGGTTTAGGGTTTAGGGCTTGGGGCTTGGGGCTTGGGGCTGTTGGACTGCCTGCAGCACGGGGTTGTTGTTCAGGTCGGGAGCTGCTTTGTTCAGCTCTGCCTCCCAGAGGGTTTAGGGTTCAGGGTTCAGGGTTCAGGGTTTAGGGTTTAGGGTTTAGGGTTTAGTTCAGGGTTCAGTTCAGGGCTTAGGGTTTAGGGTTTCGGGTTTAGGGTTCAGGGTTCAGGGTTCAGGGTTCAGGGTTCAGGGTTTAGGGTTCAGGGTTCAGGGTTCAGGGTTCAGGGTTCAGGGTTCAGGGTTCAGGGTTCAGGGTTCAGGGTTCAGGTTTTAGGGTTTAGGGTTTAGGGTTTCGGGTTTCGGGTTTCGGGTTTCGGGTTTTTAGCGTTCAGGGTTTTGGGCTTACGGGTTCAGAGAATCTATGGTAGGGGCTGAGGGCTACAATCATACAAGATAGGATGCTTAGGGCGTTTGAACTGAACTGAAAGGGCAGGATTGAGCTTGGGCCACAGTTTCGGGCGACTACTTTGGGTAACCAGGCTTCTACTGCTTTAGCCATAACCAGTAACCCTAAACCCTAAACCCTAAACCCTAAACCCTAAACCCTAAACCCTAAACCCTAAACCCTAAACCCTAAACCCCTTGCCCCTGTAGGGATTCAGATTGGGAACCCAGGACCGCCTCAACCCCAGTACTGTGGCCCTGAAACGCGCCCCTGTGTATGATGGGTTTGGGGTTTAGGGTTTAGGGTTTAGGGTTTAGGGTTTAGGGTTTGGGGTTTGGGGTTTGGGGTTTGGGGTTTGGGGTTTGGGGTTTGGGGTTTGGGGTTTAGGGCCTCGGGCTTGGGGTCTAGGAATTCAGGTTCGGGGTTTCGGGGTTTTGGGTTTAGGGCTTGCAGTTGGTGGTTTAGGTCTTAGTTTTAGGGCTTAGGGTTTGGGTTTGGGGTGTGGGGTTTGGGGTTCAAGGTTGGGGTTGATGGTGGCTTCGGGGGCAGGGGGATCAGGCACCTCACCCCATTAGAATGCCTTAAAGTACCCGCCCGCGCCCGCGCCCCCCTCCCCCGCCTCGATGTAGTCGGGGTCGGCAAACCCCTCGCCAGCGACGCTTGTCCGGGCAACACTACTTGGAGGTTCAGGGTACATAGTAGCCCCTTATAAGTGTAGCTATAACCCACATATACGCCCCTTAAGTACACGAACAGGGTTATAAGTACAGTTGTAATCGGGCTACTAAGCACCCTAAACCTGCAAGTAAGGCTTTGGGGCATCTAGGCGTGCAGCACTGCATAGGGGTTTGGGCTACATGCCTCGGGGCTCTTTCGATCCCTCTCTCCCCAAAGCAACCCCGGCGCCCGACCCCAAGCTCCACCTCTTCAATGTAGGGTACCGCCGCACTCTCCATGTTCATGTCGCCCTCCTTGTTCTTTAAGAAGTCGAAGAACCTGGCAGCTCGAGCTCTTAGTGAGTGGTTACGGCTGAAGCTTAGGGTTTAGGGTTTAGGGTTTAGGGTTTAGGGTTTAGGGTTTGGGGTTTATAGAAAGCCTCTAAAACCGCTAAGCCCTAAACCTTAGCAGACTTGAACTCTGTATCCCGCACGCACAGAAACCCCAACATTCTGAAGAAAAAGCCATCAGAACTGAAGGTTGGAACCTCCCGAAACAATTGTAGGAGGTATCCGGATAATACCAAAAATATTATGAGCCTTCTTGCTGGAAAGCCCCAAAAAAGGGGAACAACAGCGTGTTCGGGTTTTTTTCTGTTGGTCAAGCGCAGGGCTTTATATGGGGCATCCAAACCAGCAGGCGCACTGACAAACTTGCCGACGGTGAATTCGTTCTGCGATCGTGTCGAGGTCCGCCTCCCTGCGTCATGGGGGTTTACGGTTTAGGGTTTAGGGTTTAGGGTTTAGGGTTTAGGGTTTCGGGTTTCGGGTTCAGGGTCTAGGGCTTGAAAGTTCCTGGCTACCCCTGCGATGCAGCATTACAAGGAACCGATGGGAGAGAAGCGGACGAGGCCCATGTAGGGATTCCAAAACTGTTAGGGCTTTGGGGGTTTCGGGTTTAGGATTCAGGGTTTCGGGCTTAGGGCTAAGGCCTTCCAGCTTAGGGCAGAGCTTGGGGCTTAGGGCTTAGGGCTCAGGGGCTTAGGGTCGGGCTTGGGGCTTAGGGCTTAGGGCTCAGGGCTTGGGGCTTAGCCCTAAACCCTGGGTGTGCCTTCGCCACTTCTCCAGAAGCATCGCCTGGAACTTCTTGTCGCACTCGACGGCCCGAACCTTGGGGGGGCGTTTCGGGCTCTAAGGCTCAGGGCTTCAGGGCTTCAGGGCTTCAGGGCTTCAGGGCTTCAGGGCTTCAGGGCTTCAGGGCTTCAGGGCTTCAGGGCTTCAGGGCTTCAGGGCTTTAGGGCTTCAGGGCTTTAGGGCTTTTTAGGGCTTTAGGGCTTTAGGGCTTTAGGGCTTTAGGGCTTTAGGGCTTTAGGGCTTTAGGGCTTTAGGGCTTTAGGGCTTCAGGGCTTCAGGGCTTCAGGGCTTCAGGGCTTCAGGGCTTCAGGGCTTCAGGGCTTCAGGGCTTCAGGGCTTCAGGGCTTCAGGGCTTCAGGGCTTCAGGGCTTCAGGGCTTCAGGGCTTCAGGGCTTCGGGTTTAGGGTTTAGGGTTTAGGGTTAATGGTGTAGGGTTTAGGGTTTAGGGTTTAGGGTTTAGGGTTTAGGGTTTAGGGTTTAGGGTTTAGGGTTTAGGGTTTAGGGTTTAGGGTTTAGGGTTTAGGGTTTAGGAGCTTTAGGGCTTTAGGCTTGAGGCTTTTGAGTTCGCGGCCCGGGCCGCGATTGGGGGTTTGTGAACAGGCTCAGAGTCTTGCCCTTTGGGCATTAGGGTTCCTGAGTGCTCCCCCACCACCACGTTCGAGAACAACACCTAAACCCTAAACCCTAAACCCTAAACCCTAAACCCTAAACCCTAAACCCCAAACCCTAAACCCTAAACCCTAAGCGTGCCTTACTTTCTCGCAGGTGGAGGATGCTTATTCTGCTTGCGAAGGGGAACTGCAGCTAGGATTCTAATTGTGGGGTTTGGGGTTTGGGGTTTGGGGTTTGGGGTTTAGGGTTTAGGGTTTAGGGTTTAGGGTTTAGGGTTTAGGGTTTAGGGTTTAGGGTTTAGGGTTTAGGGTTTAGGGTTTAGGGTTTAGCGTCAATCCAAAGGACGACCCTGAACCCTGCAACAAAGCACTGCCTTTGCTGTTGGCAGGGTTTAGGCTTTTTGGTTTGGGGCGCCAAACCCTAAACCCTAAACCCTAAACCCTAAACCCTAAACCCTAAACCCTAAACCCTATACCCTTACGAACCTTTGCAATCCCCAGTGCCAACCCCCTCTGCTGTGGCGTCGGACCAGCCCGGTGGTGGTCACCTTGCCCATCTCGCTCTTCCTCGAGACAGAATTCTAGGATGGCCCTTAGGGTTTAGGGTTTAGGGTTTAGGGTTTAGGGTTTAGGGTTTAGGGTTTGGGGTTTGGGGTTTGGGGTTTGGGGTTTGGGGTTTGGGGTTTGGGGTTTGGGGTTTGGGGTTTGGGGTTTGGTGTAACCCCGAAGCCGAAGCCGAAGCCCACGCTACGCAGCGCGGGAAGCACTGAGCCCCAGGCTGCTTCTCACGAGTCCGGCTAGGGGTGGTATTCGGCCTGGGCGCGCCGCGAAGAAGGATGAGGGTTGAGGGTTTGGGGTTTAGGGTTGAGGGTTGAGGGTTGAGGGGTGAGGGTTGAGGGTTCAGGGTTCAGGGTTCAGGGTTTAGGGTTTAGGGTTTAGGATTTAGGGTTTAGGGTTTAGGGTTTAGGGTTGAGGGTTGAGGGTTTGGGGTTTAGTTATGTAGGGCTTCTAGATGATACGCGCCTTTTGGCGTTCAGGGCTTGCAGCTGAGGGCACCACAAAGGCAACCAAACAATCCCCAAACATCTTTAGGGTTTCGGGTTTAGGGTTTAGGGTTTAGCGTTTAGGGTTTAGAGTTTAGGGTTTAGGGTTTAGGGTTTAGGGTTTAGAGTTTAGGGTTTAGGGTTTAGGGTTTAGAGTTTAGGGTTTAGGGTTTAGAGTTTAAGACCCGAAGGTTTAAAGGGCGCTTGCAGAGGCTTCACTCCCACACCCTGCTAATCCCTCAAGCCTACTTTGCAAGGGTTGTATTGTACGGACCCTAAACCCTAAACCCTAGACCCAAACCCTAAACCCTAAACCCTGAACCCTACACCCTAAACCCTAAACCCCACACCTTTCAGGGCACCTAGGCTTTCAAGCCCTTCATTCCTGTGTTGTCTCTCGCAGCCATCGCTCATCCGTCCAGGCACACAGATTCAAACAGCTGGTGCTGTGGGTTTGGGGATGGCTTGGGGTTTGGGGGTTTGGGGGTTTAGGGGGGGTTAAGGGTTTACGGGTCTAGGGGTTCAGGGGTTTAGGGTTTAGGGCTTGGGGTTTCGGGTTGGGCAGGCACAGACGCTTCCACAACACCTCCGCAGTGCGTCCTACAATGAGCGACTAAAAGGCTCAACACCTCACGCCGCGCCACAAGCGGGGGGCGTGTGAATCAATGGGCGCCTCTTCTGGGATCCACGGTGCAGGTCGACAGACGTTCAAAGCTGGACACTGCAAAAAGGCAACTATGGCAGGACAGTGTGCAAAGTGGAGTGGATGCTTACCCTAAACCTAAACCCTAAACCCTAAGGGCGCCAAGTGCACCCCGGCATTTCTGCTGCATCTGCCTTGCCCTGCAAAACACAGCCCGGAGATTTCAGGGCTCAGAGCTCAGGGGTTGACCCGGGTTTAGGGTTTAGGGTTTAGGGTTTAGGGTTTAGGGTTTAGGGTTTAGGGTTTAGGGTTTAGGGTTTAGGGTTTAGGGTTTAGGGTTTAGGGTTTAGGGTTTAGGGTTTAGGGTTTAGGGCTACCTCCTCCTGAGCCTGGCAAGCAAGCCCCTGGAAACACCGGCAAGGGCTTTCAGAGGCTGGCTCGCGGGCCGGCAACCTTGGGGCTGCGTAGCCCCGGTGGTGTTGGGAGGTTTGGAGGTTTGGAGGTTTGGAGGTTTGGAGGCTTGGAGGCTTGGAGGCTTGGAGGCTTGGAGGCTTGGAGGCTCGGAGGTTTGGGGTTTAGGGTTTAGGGTTTAGGGTTCAGCATCTCAAGTCCGAGCATTCACTAGTCAAGCAGCTTGTCAAGCGTTGGGAGAAAAAAAAAAAAAAAAACACCCTCCCAAGAAACCCATAACATTGAGAAAATACAAAGTTCACTCAATACATTCCCAGTAGGCTGAAAATCTAACCCTCAACCCTACCAGCCCCAAGCCTCAAATTCTTTCAGGTCTGTGGCGGGGGGATGGGGGTGGGGGTAGGTGGGGCTGGGGGGGGGGGGGGGGGGGGGGGGGGGGGGGGGGGGGGGGGGGGGGGGGGGGGGGGGGGGGGGGGGGGGGGGGGGGGGGCCGACTTTTGAAGCCGAAATTCACCATGGCCGACTTTTGAGGCCAGGAAATTCACCATTGCCGACTCTTGAAGGAAATTCACCGTTGCCGACTTTTGAATTTAGGGTTTAAATTCATTATGATAGAGAGGTTTAGGGTTTAGGGTTTAGGGTTTAGGGTTTAGGGTTTAGGGTTTAGGGTTTAGGGTTTAGGGTTTAGGGTTTAGGGTTTAGGGTTTAGGGTTTAGGGTTTAGGGTTTAGGGTTTAGGGTTTAGGGGTTAGGGTTCTGGGTTCTGGGGGTTTAAGTTTTGGGTTTTGGGTTTCGGGTTCAGGGTTTCGGGCTTGGGGGCATGAAAGGGTAAGGTCTGCTTCTTGCTGGCTCGGGATTCCGCTTAAGGGCGTGAATTTTAATTTTAAGGGACACTTTGTCCTTTTTTTGAGGGGCCCCCGAATCCCTGGAGCCTCCACGCCCTCATGTGGGGGCTTCGGGAGAGGGAGAGGGAGGGGGAGAGGGAGAGGCAGAGGGAGGCTGAGGGTATGTGTGTGGGTGGGAACACGATGACGGATGGAATGAAGGAGTGGATACAATGAAGAAAGAGGTTCGCCTTCAGGATCCTGCGTTGACCCTAAACCCTAACTCCTAAACCCTAAACTCCCTAAACCCTAAACCCTAGATTCCCTAAACCCTGAAACCCAAAACCCTAAAACCCTAAAACCCAAAACCCTAAAACTCAAAACCCTAAAACCCTAAACCCTAAAAACCCTAAACCCTGAAAGAGGGAGAGGCCGGTAGGTACCGCCAACCGTGGTCACACACCCAGAGACTCCGAAACCCTTTAAGTAAGGAATATACCTTGAACTATACTAGGAACCCAAATATGATTTTTAAGGTCTGGTCCTTAACTAAGGGGTTTTGGAGTCTCTGGGAATTCGTTGGGAGCTCGTGCGCTCGTTGCCATGAAATTTCGGAGTTTGACCACAGCTGACCTCCGAAACCCCAGCAACCAACCACCGGCACATGTTTAGGGTTCAGGGTTTAGGGTTTATTTAGGGTTTAGGGTTTAGAGTTTAGGGTTTAGGGTTTAGGGCTTAGGGCTTAGGGCTTAGGGTTTAGGGTCTAGGGTCAAGGGTTTAGGGTCAAAAATGCACCTCCACATTATCGTGCCGAATTTTGCCTGCAAACTCAACCGTGCCCCTCATTCCCGAAACATCTGAACCCCTAACACCCTTGAACCCCTAAAACCCTAAACCCTAAACCCTAAGTCCTTAACCCTAAACCCTGAACCCTAAACACCTAACACCCTAAACCCCGAAAACCCTGAACCCTAAGCCCTTAACCCTAAATCCCTGTAGCCAGTTGTAGCCTCGTCCACTGTTCGCTCCATGACCATCTCGGCAATGCCGTAGACCTTGTTTGGGGGTTGGAAAGTCGTGGAAGTTAGAAGTTAGGGTTTAGGGTTTAGGCTCAGGCTTTCGGGTTGAGGAGGGGAGGCGGAGTGGGAAGTAAGACCTGAAGCCGCCCTTACCTACCCCCCTCCGCCTGCCTCGATCCCCAAACACAAGCTTCAGGCGCAAACGCGCACCATCTCATGCAAGTATTGCATAAACACTAAACCCTAAACCCTAAACCCTAAGCCTGGTGGCTTACTTTGCTTGATCCTCTTCTGGGGTGACGTTGCGCGACATTTCGGCCTTACGGTGGAAGGCGCGCAGTCACTCGTCAGGGAAGGAGGGAGCCCGCCCCTCACATAGAAAATCATTAATTAGAATAGGGTGTTGGGGGTTAGAATAGCAAACTTATATGCAATATAATCATATAGGGGCCTGAATAATTAGAATAGGGTTTTGGGGGTCATGCGGGCGAAAGCCTGTCGAAGTCATTAATTAAAGAAGATGTCATCTGCATCCTCAGCAATAGCTCAGAGCACTGAACAGATCTACAACTTGCTGCAGATAGATTGCAGCAGTAAAAGCATAACATCATATTTCTGTGACCAAAAGTCCAGAGTCTGTACAGGAATATCATGCGACTTAGGACATCTACGTGTGAGATTCCTAGGTTCAATCGAGAGAAGCTTCTTGCAGCAAGCACATTCTTCAGCAGGAGCCCACACAGGTTCAAGCACATGTGTGCGGAAGTCATTTTCAAGAAGCTGGCTCTGTTTGAATCTTTCACGGCAGTCTTTAAACCTGGCAAGTCTTTTGCAAGCGGCATTGAAACGCTTAAGCGGTCCAGGCTTAGGTGGAAGGGCACCGCGAATTTCTTGCGCAGTCATAGAATTCCTTTTTCAAGTGTGACATGGGTGATGCAAGGGATGTTTTCGTGGACCCCTTGATTGCAATCACTACTGAGATCAAAAATCTGATCAACCCAAGGAAGGCGAATTTTGGGAGACAACCTGGGGACAGGCCAATCTTTACACAGCGGAATGGTCATAAGGCTTGCGCTAACAGTCCCAACCGCATTACAAAATTGGACAGGGGTAATGCGGGAACCTGCGAATTACACAATCCGCCAGACGAGCATCAACACGAATGGCTGGTAGATCAGACGCGGCTTTCGTCAGATCCCAAGCAGGGATGAAGTTCAGACTCTCCGGGAAAGCAGCTTCGGGCGGGAAAGTTTCAAGCCATTTAG